GTACAAATTTTAAAATATAAAAAGTTTATAGTTGAATTACCTAGTGGCATAGTGACATCAACAGAATTTACTTTCTTTGTTTTACTTTGCTTAAATCTTTTCCCCGGACCTATCCTCTCGCTTGTAAGTGGGCGGCATATTGGAGAATCCATGCCCCCAAATAATTAACGTTTTCTAGGGAATGAGAAAAATAATAGTAAAATCGAATTTTCTTGAACTGGCTATTGAAAACGGTCCTCCTGAAAATAATCTAACTTGTATCGCTCTGGTTTATCGCTTATCATCATCTTTATGATTATCTATCGTTCATCATCGTTAACAACTACCAGGATACTACAAACTAATTATACCGTACTTTAACAATATGGACCGATCAACTAAAACCCACGTTTGATAGTATCAGTCTATAGATGACCACACAACTAATCGTCAAGTAAACAATACTAAACCCATTCTGTTTGCTTACGTTAAACAATCGAGGTGTAGACAAACGTTAATTATAACGTTTCATAGAATAATCGAATAAACATGACCGAGAGAGTTTCATATATCGATTAGCATTTAAATTACCGACATAGCAGTTGTCTGAGTCTAAATTACATGGTTGTGATCTCCTGATGACCATACAACACCGTGTCTGATTACATTCAAAGAACTTACCACGTTTGCTGGAAGTTCATGTCTCGTTCATTGTCCTAAACTCTGGAACATCCGGAGACCACATGATGAGATGACGTCATCATAACGTCTGTCTGGGGTAAGGTTTATAATTCCACCTGCAGCTGCACCCGCGGGAGTTAAATCCAGAGCCATTCCATGAGTTAAAAGCCAGTAAAACTCTTGAGTGAACGAATCTCGAAATGATTTTCGTTACTAAACAATATTGAGAGCAAACATTGTTACTTTACAAACAACGATTACAAAGAGATGTACGTTGTCTTGGTGTGGTATACGATTTTATGTCTACGCCTCATTGATGGTGAAAACAATAATTATAGTAGGGTTCAGATACTAGTGACTTCTGAACCCTATTATAAATTATAAACCTAATAACCAACCTAATAAAACAAACCTATTATAATTGTATGTGTGTTTTGATGCACGTTTCAGTATGTTCAAGTGTACCTACTGATGTCGGGCAAACGTTTTCTGCAAATTTTGGGTTAATTCAACATAAGTTACGCTTCTAATAATTATTGAGAAGCTTGGTTTGAAACCATATTATTTAAGGTCTAATATTTCCTGGTTTAATAGTCTTTACACGAACTATACACAACCCAGACACTGCGATTACTGCGAACAGAAACATAGTACTTTAAAATTGCCTCCGCTCAACCGCATGACTATCTGATAGGAAAGTACATAAATTATCCAAGATATCTTTGTGTTCATTAATATTTCCATGTTTGTAACGCAGCATGGATTTCATACACGGTCTTCAAATATTTTATATGGGTACTAATTTCAATTTCACAACTTGGTTACACCAAGTGCTAGTCGCAAGTATACATGTAGTTTGTTTCATTTACCCATCCAATTCTTAAACAGAGTAGGAAAAGGAGCACGAGAAAAGAAACATTAGATTTCAAAAATCGGATAAAAATCTGAAACAACGCACTGTAGAAAGATAGGATTTCCTCTGAAAGAAAACCCTCTACGAGATCGTTTATTTCCTTTAATCTTCACCGAATCCAAAACCACAACTGCGGCGGAAACAAAGGTTGAAGTTCACACGATTCTCGTATCAGCGATGAATAGCCCAGTCAATCTAGGTAAAACATCACGGAAATAGGAGATATAAAGCTGAATTTTGGCACAGATTTTCTTTATGATATCCTTGACCATTTCCTAAAAGTCCGCTACCGTCCCCTGTGTGCTTCTTCCGGTATAAAGAAAAAAGGGGGGAGGGGGTGAATCTTATATATTAAAAAGAACTTGGTTTTTCTTTTCCGAGTTCGTTTGGCTCTTCTACCCGACCGATTTTCATGATTGAGGTCTCAAATTGAAGGTATGCACGTACAGATTTGCCATCAAGCATATTTATCTATAAACCCACTCAGCATATACGTAAACAAAATTTGCTCCCCATGTATTTCTTATGGGAGTTAAATTTGGTTTATCCGAGTTCGTTTGGCTCTTCTACCCGATCGATTTTCATGATCGAGGTCTCAAATTGAAGGCATGCATGCCAAGTTTTCACATAAAGCATCGGCAAATATTTACCTACTGTACTACTCGACCGAAACACATGATGTGATTTATTTTCTAACTCTTCAATTTAAGATGTACCTTCACCAGTTATAATTTTACAATCCTATATATATATTAATCTAAGAACCTTCAGTGAAATACTGGCTTTCTTAAGCTATTAGTTATTCAAATCGGACAAGTTTCAAGCAAACGCAAGGTGAACAACCAACATAAAAATTATTTTTCATAAGGTTTTACTATGTGTAAAAATCAATAGCTCCAGTATTGTTATAATGTTTTTCTATATGTTTTAGTCTCTAATCAATCAGAAAACTATAGGATTTAATTTGCGCTATTGATTGTTTGAATCATTTAAGCTCAAGATACTGTATTACTCAATCAAAAATCATAAATTTGATTATCCTGCAACGAGACCTTCTCTGGAGGAACAATTCCCACCACCGCGCAGTGTCTTACCAGTGATCAATATAAATAAACATTTTTAATCCTTCGTGTTAATCAAATCCTTCTTTCCTGACAAACCAATTGACTGGAAGTTTGGAAATTCGTATCTGAGTAAAATATTGATACCAACACAAAATTAAAGATTTGTGGTATTAAAAACAAATCAACACACATTGATGTGCTACATTTTTTTAATTCAGTATAAGAACTGCCTCTACGCTCTACAGACAGTGCACCACTAATAATAAAATTGTCTTCAGCTGGTGCATAAGGATGAGAAATCTACTAAGGGAGTATGTTTTGTTTTTCTATAGTCTTCTTAGTTAAATACAGCAGTTTATTGGGATGTAAACAAATTGTACATTTAATTTGGATCTTTTAAAGGTTATGAAAAAATATTTTCGTAGTCGGTAATTTGTTTTTTTTTATTCAAACTAATTAATAAATTACCATTTGTGAACTGCTGCAAATAGAATTATTAAGTTCGTATTTTGTATTCTTTAAAGGACTATTTATATCTGTCGTGCAACAACAATAGTGTTAACAATAGTTTTGGTCTTCTTATTATTTCTGTAGGTATTATTACCGAAATAATTCCGAATCATAGTGTTAGTAAACAAAATATAAAACCTTTTTGATATTTGTATAGGTACATGATTGAATTAATAACGGAAATCCAAAACGTCGACAATGTATTATTACAATAATGCGTCTTTACTTTAGCCAAAGGAATTTAAATGTTGTTATATTATGATATCGGGAAGCATAAAATCTATTTACAAAAATTGAAGCAGTATTGTAATAGTTTCTCCTATTCGAGGCAACCTACAATTAGACATTATAAAAACATAAGCCCCAGTAATTGCCGTAGACCTACTATGCCTAAAATTGTGAGAGTTAACTTGCAGATAAAATTTACACGTTAAAACGTCATTACAGAAATACATTGTAGTGGTGTTAAATATATTTTTAAATAGAGCTATTGAATTTAAATAAATATTAATCAATATATTATAAAGTGGTGAACTATATATGGATTGTATTAAAAATTTGTCTATGCATAAATACGATTTGTACATTTGCACGATTCAACGAGCCTTTAATTTTAAGTCTATGAATTAGTTATGAAAGTCACGATGGTTAATGACTGTATTAATTAATTGTTTTGGTTTATTACGACATCCATTAATTTTTCCATTAAATTTGTCATCCGTGTTTGAGAACTCACACCGTATTTTAGCTTAATTTCATAGTGGTTTTAATGGTACTACTGGAGTTTCAATATGTTTCATATTCTGTTATTTTCCTATAATACTGGCATTTATATTTGAGATCACAATCATAAACATTTAGTTGGATGTTGTACAGTTAAATAAAAAAATAAATTTTTAATGATTTTTTAATTGCTTTGTGAAAGTACTGTTAAAAGTGTAATTGATAACAAAAACATAACAATTAATGTATCTTTATTATTGACACTGACATTTTTAAAAATACGTCTGTGTACGATTATTTCTTCGTACAAGGTTGGCAACGCTCCGTGCATGGGCGCGGCTGGGTTAGCGACTTCCAGAGTTAGCGAATTCCGCCACGGGACAAAATCGACTTAGCGGGTTCCGCAGTTAGCCAATTCCTGACTGGTACAATTAGCCAGTTCCTACACACGACCGAGTTAGTGAGTTCCAGAGTTAGCCAATTCCTACATCTCTTATTCTACTGAAAGTGTTTGACTATACCGTGTTTTGGGTTTATTTGTGACTTTTCTAATGTCAATGCTTAAGAAAAAAAGGAGATTGAAAAGTGTAGTTTATTTTGTAAATAAACTACTCACGACTTCAGAATGATTTCGTAAATCCAAATGCATAGCACTTCATTTTTTAAGTTTTTATGGATGGCCCATTTTAATAGATCTTTTGAGTTATATGAACTAGGTGCAGTCCCGTTAGGGTCGGTTAAGATGGAGTCTACTGTATCTCACATATCTAAATGTATGGAGTTTTTAAGTCAAACTAATATTTGAAGGTAAAAACACTTACTTTAGATGATGCATGTAAAATTTGTCTGTTAGATGATGATTGACCAGCTCACAATGATGTTATAAAAAATTAATCTCTCAGAAGTACTTGGCAGATCTAGGGTTACCATGCACATAGACTATGGACCTGTACCTGAAATGAATCCAGCTAAAAAAGGGGTTTATAGTACAAGTAAACTGTACTGATAAAATCAACTTCAATCAACAAGAAGAGAAATATATGTATGTTGTATGGTGTATTGGGTTCATTTTAATACACAATACAACAATAATTACAGGGAAACCCATATCATGGAGATGTATTTTTCAGTATTTGTCTGGTTTTGGGAATGAATTTTCTTCAGAAGACCCCAGGTGTCCGGGGTCGCTTCCGAAAAACCAAAACAGCCCTCAACAATGCCCTTATGGGACTTACGCAGAGCAGTTGTCTGGAACAGCATTTACAGGTAATGTATATAATTTGTATAGCAAGGGTTAAGAAATTCGTTATTTTGTGACTATCAATTATCAATCATTGAGATGGGGTGCATATTTTTTATGGGGTACCTAGGTGCGTATTTTAACCCAAATATGAGTGAAGAATGGTGTGTGATGACCTGTGTAGCTTTGTTACTGACTAAGATCAGCTGTTTCTTTAGTCAGGATCATTTATTTAAAGCCCAATGATTAGGAACAGATGGGTCCAGTTTCGAACCATCAAAAAGCTATACTGACTTTTCTCAGGATCGAACCGGCGACCTTTTGATTACTAGGTGAGCACTATAACCACTCAGCTACCCAGTTAGCCACTGGCTAATTGAAATAAAGCCTCTTTCACTCCGGAGTTAAACAAATATATTACATGTTTTTGACAGCTCCAGTCTTAACATGGCTTAAAGTAAGAAGTGCTTTTTTAAATCAAATCCAACAAAAAAATGTGATACCCTTGCCATTTTTGCTATAATCACTGAGCCGACCCCTCGCACCGCCCCCAGACGAACAACTGAAGGAAGCATGCCCCCCATAGTGACAGTGCGAGTGGTCGCCCCACAACCCTGACAAAAGTGAAAGGCCGTGGGTGAACATCAAAGCAAAACAAAGAATTGTGAACAAAAGCCTATATATTTATCAAAATCAACAAATAACAACAAACAACAATGATTTTACCCATCCAAAGAATTTCTTTTTAATAATCTCTTTTCTGAAAAAATTTAATAAAAAAGAATTTTAAATTTACCCTTCTAAACCTTACATAACTGGTAACTTAAATGTGGAAAAGTTAGGCCTAACTATGAATAAATTAAAGATGGTAACTGTAAATATAGGCTACTTTAAACTTTGAAAAAATTAACAATTAAATAAATAATAAATACTATAAACATAAATAACGAATAATAAATTGATTTGGGGGCCCCTTTTAGTATCAAGTCCTTCGAAAAATTTGTATAACAAAATAAAACTTGCGGCCTGAAGGCACAATAGTTCCTTTGGCGGTAGGCGGCGTGGCGGCTTGAAGGCGGAGTGTGTCCTACTGGTTCCAGAAGCAGGGCGACTGGCAGCCCGAAGAGGGAGAATGTGTAAGGTTTCCCCGGGCGACCCTCTCCGGAAGCAGCAGGAAAAAGCCTCCCATCTGGGACCCTTTAAACAGTTTCCAGGTCTAACTAGTAGAGTTCAAATAAGTGAAGTTTAACCTTAGGCCTACCCAGCTTTTCAAGCCAAAAGTCCAAAACACAATTTCCGCATTAGGCCTACTCGAACAATGACCAGACTATTGATAAAGATGATTTTATTATAAATACTTTTCTTTTTAATTAGGCTTTCCTTTATTAAACTGTCTTTTACAGTTACAATAAGAAAAATGACTAGAAATAAATTAATTCAGATGAATAAAGCTTTAAAAACATAACAATAAATAGACTTTTAAATTTTACTAACTTTAACAACACATTCTGACAGTAAAATTTTATAAAGATTGGAGTTGACAATTAAAAATATGAATTATCTGGTCCAGAAGGGTAAAACACATTAATCAAACACAAAACAATTACATAAATACTACAATTAATACTTCAAAAAACAGTTCTCACAAAATATTAAAAATTCTTTGGCTGGAGGTGCATTTTCAGGTAAAACCGGTAATAACTCCGGTTATTACCAACCAAATTTGCTCAAAATGCTTTTAAAAGTTGTGGCACAAGTGCCCGCAGCTTTTAAAAGACAAACCCATGCCTACCAACTAGCCTGAGGCTAGGTAGGGGGTCAGTTACCTACGGTCACTCAGAAAACAGAAATGCGCTAAACTAAAACTTAAATAACTCGGTCATTTATTATCCAAACTTAATGAAAATTGCAGGGGACAAGTAAGAACACTAAAACTAACTAATTATGACCGAGCTTGGCCCCCAGAAGGTGCCATTACTTAACTAAAAAGAATTAGGCTGAGTGACATGGCCTACATTACAAATAACAAAAAAAACACCTTTACAGGGGACAAAGGGACAAAATTTACATTAAACAACATGTAGGCCACAATAACAAAACAAAATTGAGCACAAACTAGGCCTTAGGCCTAATAATAAATTAACAGGGACACAGAACAAACGGACCATAGCCCGCACAAAAGTGAGTTTCAAAGTGAGTTTTCTTGGGTAATATCTGGCCTAGAGTCTCCGGGAAAGCTTTGAAAACTTGACAACAACAAAAACTACTAAACTAACCAGAAAAACTTGTGGTCAGACCACACAAAGCTTGGCCAAAGGCCCAACAAAACTCCGTTCAATTCCAGCCTCAGAAATGGGTCTAGCGCCTTGAAAAACAAGTAATTGGTAATTAAAAGTAATTCCAATGCACAGAAGGTGCTTAATACTTGTTTTTCACTAGCCAAAACCCACTCAAAGCCTGCTCAACATGTGGCTGAAAGCCAAGACTAAATCAGAAACTTTCTAACCTAAACAAATCAAATAATAATCAATCAACTTACTCATCTGACGACTGGCAAAACACTTAAACCATGTTCAAAATTCGCTGGCGTAGGAAATAAAGCAATTGTCTGAAGTAAAATATATTGCCTTCAGAAAACGACAAAGTTTGACAGGTTAAATTGACAGTCGCTCGCCTTCTGCCGAAAAATGTGCTCGGCAGCGGAAAAATAGCCCCGGGGTCTGCAGGACTGCTGCCAGACCCAAACTGAACGAGTTCCGGCGCAAGGCCAGCACTCGCACTATACAAAAACACTGAGGCGTGACATTGGTGGGACGCTTGGTGGACATGTCACGGCTCAACCTCCCCCCCCAAAGGAGGACTTCCTCTCCAAAAAAAAGAAAACAACCTCTCCCAATTCTAGAAGATCTCAACACCACAGATCAACTCAAGTGTCTGAAGTGGGGAACGCCAAAAGTCTTTCAACTGGAGGGACTACTCACCCCCAGGGGTTGCACTGGCCAGTGCTGGAAAATGTACTAGGGAAAAATCTTCAGCAGCGCACAAGGGACAGAAGAGGTGATCAAGCTCTCTGGCCCAGTGCACTTCCCACTCAGACACAAGAGTAAAGAAAGATGACCTACGGAATTGTTCCCCGGGAAGGCTTCAGATGAGAAATGTGAGCCCTCCGGAAAACTTCTCCAGTCTGCGGATTTCCAAGCCGCACGGAGACAGGAGTCAAGAACTTCAAGATGCGGTGGGGACCTGACCACCGATGAGACAACTTAGCGGCTCTCTTGTCCACGGCCGAACTGACCGGATGAGCCTTACAGAAAACCAAATCCCCCACCTGGAAAGGATTGTCCAACCGACCTCGATTGTGCTTCCTCCGTACCAATTCCCTAGCTCGGATCAAGTTCCTCCTAGCCGCCTGCCAAGTTGCCTTGACATTGGCTGCACCAGGGGGTGGCAGAAGGTCGCCAATTTTCCACACATTTGCCAAAGGATTATTGGGTGGATAGCCCAACAACAGCTCAAAAGGGACCGCCTTGTGACTCTCATGGTGTGCAGTATTGAAAGCAAATTGAATCCAAGGAAGTTCCTGATCCCAGGTGGTTTGCTTGTCAGCATGAAAAGCTATGAGAGCGGATCGAAGATTTCTGTTGAACCTCTCAGCATGGGAAGGCTGTGGATAGTAAGGAGAAGTGGTCACATGGCGGATACCGTGCCCAAAGCACATTCTTTTGAAAAGGTGAGACACGAACTGAGTTCCGTTGTCGGAAACAATGGTGGCGGGTATTCCAAAGTGTTGAAACAAATGGGTACGAAGTGCCTGCACGGTGAGCTGTGCAGTGGCGTTCCTCAAAGGAAAAAGCCAACAAAACTTGGAGAAGGCATCCACACAAACAAGTAAGAATTTGTTTCCTGACTTGCTACGTGGGAGAGGCCCTACATAGTCTATGAAAACCTTCTCCAAAGGTCTCTCCGCCACCTCAGATGACAACAACCCATACTTGGTATTCTGAGCAGGCTTGCTTAGCGAGCATGTTTGACAAGAACGTACTCGTGCCGCAATGTCCCTGTCCATACCCTTCCAGATGAACATTTCCCTAACCTTCGCAATGGTCTTGTGAATCCCTAAGTGCCCACCCACAGGGGAAGAGTGAAAGTACGCAAAGACCATGGGTACAAGAAGACTAGGCAGCACAACCTTAGGTTTACCTCGCTGTCGGTCTCGACAACAAAGGGCACCCTGGGACAGAAAATATGGGGGGTGGGCTCCCCCATTTTGAAGCTCACCAATGATCTTAGCCAGCTCGGGATCTTTTAACTGATGTGGGATGAACTCAGAAAAGGCAAGGGGGAACTCCAGGAGCACGGCACACCCTGTGTGCTCCTCCTGATCAGAAGGTTGGTCGTCAGGTGAATGGTACATCCTGGATAAAGTGTCAGCAATCACATTCTGCGTGCCTCGAACATGTTGCACTTGGAATTTGAGGGAAGATATTTGGACCACCCAACGACCAATTTTCCCAAGCTGGCGAGGATGTGCAAGGAGCCACGAGAGCGCCTGGTTGTCGGTTTCCAGCAAAAACTCTTTGTGTTCCAAAAAACGTCTGAACTTATTCACTCCAAACACGACAGCCAAACACTCTAACTCATACACAGAAGAGCTTTTCTTTTCGCATGGGTTCAAAGTGCGTGAGGCATACGCAATTGGCTGCCTAACACCATCTACCTCTTGAGACAACACAGCCGCAATTGCGACGGAGGAAGCATCGGTTTGCAAAACAAACTTTTGACTGAAATCTGGCATCGCCAAAACCGGGGGTTGCATGATAGCTTCTTTCAGAAGATCAAAAGACATCTGTTGTGCTTCACCCCAAACAAACTTGGCGCCCTTCTTCCGAAGCTCATTGAGAGGAGCCGCCAACTCAGCCACATTGGGGATGAAGCGCCGGTAGAAACCCACCATGCCGATGAAACGGGCAATGCCTTTGACATCTCGGGGAGGAGGAAACTCCCTGATAGCCTGGGTTCTAGCCGG